GTTGTTTACAAAGGAAGAATGTGCAAAGTTAATGAGAAGTGACATGAGAATGGCACTGAGATATTCGTTTTGTGGGCTGGCACAGACACAACAGTTTGAATGGCGCCCCTTTCTGCATTGTAACAGTTGTGTTTCCACCCCATTCTTATTTCTCTGGAAGGAACATTCTGGGAAATTGTCAGCCTTATGTGAACTACAAATGCTGATTAACACACATGTTGTTGCCTCCAAGTGCAAACAGATTGCACCTTCTTGCCAATACATTAATTTGCCACCCCTTTAATCTCTGGCAATCAAACACCTGGTTGGTGGTGGGGGGGGGTGATATCTCATGAAGCACAATGTCACAACCTCTGAGCCCGGAGTCCCAGACGTCCTGCCTGCTCGAAGTGTGTCATTACATCTCAGACTAGGTTGATTAAAAAATATCTCAAACTATCTAGCCTTACTGTCAGACAAACTAGTCACATGATACGTTTCAGTTTTTCTTCTTAGTTTAATGTGGTGTCCCAATACACAACAATCTTATTGAGTTCACAGATTTAACAATTATCAAACTTCTTTCATGATTAGACACATCTATTAAACCCGCCCCCAACTGTCTCAACTTTAAAAACAATCTCTGATCCTCTTGTCTCTACATGTAACAGAAGTGAAAACAAATTGAATATCATAAACCTTCACATAAGGCAACAACTGACAATTTCCCAGAAAGTTCTTTCCAGAGAAATAAGAATGGTGTGGAATCACATAACTGTTACAATGCAGAAAGAGGTGGGGGACGCATATCAAACTATTGTCTGTGCCAGCTCACAAAATGAACACCTCACTTAGTGCCATTCTCCTAGCTCTTCTCATTAACTTTGCACATTCTTCCTTTGTAAACAATCATTTAATTCGCCTTTAAATGTCTCAATTTAACCTGCCTTCACCATAGTTTCTGGGAGAACATTCCGGACCATAACCACTCATTGGAAATGTTTTTCACGCAATCACTTTTGCTTCTTTTTTGAATTATTTTAAGGTGTGCCAACTCATGTTTCATCCTGTTAAGAGTAGAAACGTTTACTCTGTTCAGAGCTCCCATGATTTGGAATCTTTCTGTTCAATCTCCTCTCAGCTTTCTTTTCTCCAAGGAAACTTCTTCCAACTTCTCCAATCAACCTTAACAACTGAAATTTCTCATCCTTACAATCATTCTTTCAGCCTCTTCCATATTCTATGCAAGGTTCTCACTTTCCTCTTAAAGTGCAGCATCCAGAAATAAATGCAATACTCTAGCTGATGTTAAACTAGGTTGATGAATCTCAAACAAATTCAATTTGCTCTGGTATTCTAAACCCTCAATTAACAATTTACTGTTCTCTCAACCTTCCCTCCCATCTTTAAATGATGAATACATGTATACAGCCAGGTCCCACTGATCCTACACCTCCTTTAGAGTTGCACCTTTTATTGTACGTTGTCTCTTCACGTTCTTTCTACCAAGAAGTATCTCCACATGAATTCTCAACTATCACCTATGTTCCCAATTCACCAACTTTTGAAGTTCAACACTATCCTTCTTACAAGTTACAATGGTTCCAAGATTTATATCATTCATAAATTTTGGAATTGTGACCTGTACACCAAGGCCACAATGGTCATTAATGTATATCAAGAATAAAAAGATCCCAATGCTGACCCTTGGGGGACTTCACTATTAACCTTCCCTGGTCTTATAGTCATACAGCATAGAAACAGACCCTTCAGTCCAACTTGTCCAACCGATCAAGTTTTCCAAACTAAACTAGTTATGTTTGCCTGCATTTCGCCTTTTTTTTTCTATTAATTTTGTGGGATGTGGGCGTCGCTGGCTAGCCAGCATTTCTTGCCCATCCCTAGTTGCCCTTGAGAAGGTGGTGGTGAGCTGCCTTTTTAGACCGCTGCATTCCTCCTGCTATGGGTTGACCCACAATGCTTTTAGGGAGGGAATTCCAGGATTTTGATCCAGCGACAGTGAAGGAACAGCGATATATTTCTAAGTCAGGATGGTGAATGACTTGGAGGGCAACTTGGAGGTGGTGGTGTTCCCATATATCTGCTGCCTTTGTCTTTCTAGATGGAAGTGGTCGTGGGTTTGGAAAGTGCTGTCTGAGGATCTTTGGTGAATTTATGCAGTGCGTCTTGTAGATAGTACACACTGCTGCTACTGAGTGTTAGTGGTGGAGGGAGTGAATGCTTGTGGATGTAATGCCAATCAGGCAGGCTGCTTTGTCCTGAATGGTGTCAAGCTTCTTGTTGGGGCAGTACTCATCCAAGCAATTGGGGAATATTCCATCACACTCCTGACTTGTGCCTTGTAGATGGCAAACAGGGTTCGAGAAGGCAGGAGATGAGTTATTTACCACAGTATTCCCAGCTTCTGGCCTGCTCTTGTAGCCACTCTGTTAATGTGGTGAGTCCAGTTGAGCTTCTGGTCAATGGTAACCCCTGGGATGTTGATAGTTTGGGATTCAGTGATAGTAACACCATTGAATGTCAAGGGGCAGTCGTTAGATTGTCTCTTATTGGTGATGGTCATAGCCTGGCATTTGTGTGGCACGAATGTCACTTGCCACTTGTCAGCCCATATCATTCCAAACCTTTCTTATTCATGTACCTATCCAAATGTCTTTAAATGTTGTAACTGTACCTGCATCTACACTTCCTCTGGCAGTTCATTCCACATACGAACCACCCTCTTCACCCATCAGCCTCCTATGCTCCAGTGTAAAAAATCCTAGCCTTTGCTTGTAACTCAAATCCTCCAATCCCAGCAATATCCTTGTAAATTTTTTGAAGCCTTTCCAATTCAATGATATCCTTCCTATAGCAAGGCAATCAAAAATGTACACAGTATGCCAAATGTGGCCTCACCAACATCCTGTACAACCCCAACATGATGTCCCAACTCCTGTACTCATTGATCTGAGCATGAAGGCAAACATGCTAAATACCTTCTTAACCAACCTCCAAAGAACATCGATTTTTTTTACTGTTTCCTGTCACTCAGCCAATTTGATATGCTTTCCATGCTATAAGCTATAACTTCGCCCATATAGCTACAACTATAACAGCTATAACTGTTATGTGGCACCAAATCAAAAATAGTGTAAAATGTATTAGCAGCATTACCCTCATCAACTGTTACATTTTCAAAAATCCTAGTAAATTAAACCTGATTTTCCCTTAAGAACCTAATGCTGGCTCACTTGAATTGGCCCTACTCCTACAATCCTTTAACTATTTACATACCTATAGAAGACGTTGGGATTTTTAAAAAAAATGTTAACTATCATTCTCTTTTCATATTCCCTATGCTTTTTCACAATCCCTCTGAACCTTGTGCTCTGCAGGGTACACATTGATATTTTCTCCCTGATATGTCTCAATGGCACTTGATTTTTTAATTTTAAATTCTTTGTCATCCACGGAGCTCTGGATTTGCTAACCCTACCTTACTCTTTTGTACGAATATACCTCGATTGTGCCCAAACATCCCTTCATTGAAGGTAACCTGCTGTTCAGCTACTGTTTCTCCTAATATTTAACTCCAATTTCTTTGATGAAGATCCATCCCTAGCCTACTGAAAGTCGGCTTTGCCCCAATTAATTATTCATACTCTGGGGCGTTCATCTGACAATTTAGCAACATATTTGTTATATGCTTTTAACCATGATTTAATCATACTTTTAGCCATAAAACCAACAGCTCATCTGAAAAGTTTTATGGTAAAAATTCACGTCGGAGCAAAGCATAACCAATTACATGATAATCGGTTGTTGACAGCCTTCACAGCCTCCTACGTGGAGGCTGATCCGTTGATGCCGCTAATCTTCATTCCAATCAGAAAGGTAACATTTTTCTCTTGCCAAACACGAGCAAACTGAGACACACAGTTGGAATAGCTGTGGGTTGGCAAATACATACGCGTTCTTTTGGGGCCCTTGTGGTGCAGTGCTAGTATCCCTCCCTCTGAACCAGGAAGGCTCGACATCAAATCCCAACTACTCAATTGGGATCCTAACCCATTTGAACACGGGTAGATTAATCCTATCCATAAACACTTCTTGTCATGACACATTCCCAACCATTTCAAAGGAATGAACTTTTAATGGAGGGAGGAAATGCAAATCTTTTGTTCCAAGAACCCACAAAGAGCTCCCAAAGGTGCATCGATCTTGTCACTGCAGCAACTTGAACGATCGCTCACGCAATCCTAACCCACCGTGCAACGCACAGGCGCGATCCGCAGGGCTGGTGGGCGGCACCCAGCTGACGTCACGTCCTCCACGAAGCGTCGGCCTCGGCCAATCAGCAGCAGCGTCGCCCTGACAACGGTTTTTTTTAAAAACTAACGTCGGCTGCGTTAAAATGGCGGCGGTGCGGTTGTTCCGGAAAGAGTAACGGTCAACAAGCAAAGCGAGATCGGCCTGACAGTTCCAACTTCACCACTACATCTCCGGAGTCAGGACAGCCAGACGCGAGGATGTGCTGTTGTACGGCCGGCTGACAGCTCGGTGTGGGAAGGATGAGCCAAGAGGTGAGCGGGTTCTTTGCGGGGCAAGGAGCGGATGTTCGTGTCGAGCCCCTTGGGACGATCGGGGAGGGGGCTAGTAGTCGTTGTCTGTTTCCTTCCCCGTCCCCGGGAGGCCGGTCCAGATGTTAATGCCCCCTCCCAAGCTTAGGCTCGGTGCAGCAGTTGCTGATGTGAACGCGCGCGCGCCGCCGCCTCTTTCATTGTCTGCAGTCGCGCGCCACGCCCATTCTCCCCTCTCCCCTCCGATTGGGGGGGTGGGGTGGGGTGGGGCGAGATCGTCCAGTCCTGGACGTCACTGATTTCCCCTCTCCTCCCTACAGCATCTGATGTGGGCTGCCTCTGGGCCATGCCGACATCATCCTCCCCCCACTTCCCCACCCCAGCCCCGCTCTCCTAAGTACGGTCAAAATCCCCCGTTGCGTTAACTAGTAGCAACCGTTTATAGCCCAGTAGAGTAGCGCTTTTCTCTTCTGTGTGCTAAAGCACTTAAGTTGACAGACGATAGACGTCTTCTCTCTCTCTCTCTGCTCCTTCCCCTGGTTTCGTGTCATTTTCATGTCTTGGTGCAAACTCCCGAGTTTCTTTCCATTTTATGCTTTATCTGATGGATTTTGGGGTGATTGTGAAGGTCAGTTGAATAAAAAATCTTGCCTCTGTTTGTAGAGGAATCGATTGTTGCGATTTTATAAATCAATGTTGACATTTGGCATCTGACAGGAAAGCTTGGTTTGCAAATGGATCTTTGTGGTAAGAGTGGTAGATCAGTCTGTGGGTGATAGGCAATGGCATAAGGGTATATAAATATTTTTAATGTTGTAACACACACCAAACTATTATAATCTGACAAATTGACACCAAAGGAAAGAAGAAATGAGAGGTGATATTAAAAACCTGATCCAAGAAGTCGGTTTCAAGGAGTATCTTAATGAAATAATGAGAGGCCTTGTAGTTCGGAGAGGGAACTTCTCAGTTTGAAGGCACAGCCACTACTTCAAATGAAGTGGTACATATACTGGTGGATGGAGTCAGAGGAGCAGGGTGTCCTCAGGACTGGAGGTAGTTACAGGACACAAGTAAGATCATTGAGATCAAGAGTGAGAATTTTTTTGTTTTGTAGATTTGGAGTCAATGGACCTTGGTGAGCATAAGGTGATACAGAAGCTGGACTTTGTGCATGCTAGAAAATAAGCAAGAGTTATGGATGAGCCCAGGTTTTGATGATAGAAGATGACAGGCCAAGGAAGTGTTGGATCGGTAAAGGAACAAAACCAAGGATGAATTTTTTTGCAATACATGGGTTGAAGGAGTGGTGGAGATCTTTGATGCAACTGAGTTGGATGTAACCTCTTTATTAATGGAATGAATGTGATTAGAAGGTCCGGCCATTCATGCTTGCTGTTGGATAGTTTTGATTTATGTGTAATTTCTTCAACCAAATGTTGAAGTATGTGTGCAAAAAATGTTATAATTTGAAGTAACTGTACATGCTCAAACTTTTCTGCTCTTTCCCCCCCCATACAGTTAGGATTATTTCTAAATGATTGTGGCATTGTTGCAACTTGATGCAATTCTTAAACTTGCATTTACTTTCTAGTTGATGATCTTTTCTGACAGTTCAGAAAATTATAATTGGACTCAATTAATTTTATACTCAACCCTGTGTTTGCTTTTCCTTCCCTCTCCAGTATTTGGTAATTTGTAAAGAATGATGTACGTTTGTTTTAAAAACATAGAGCTCAAAAGAAAGGTCTTAACCACTGACCAGTCAAAAAACACAAGATGTAGGACATGTTTAGCATTTCACAGAATTTTCTTTGAGCTATTCTAGAAGTGGCTGATTGGCCTACTCATATGAACTTATGGCAATTTCACATAATTATAAATGTTTTACCTCACTCCCTTTGGCATCATTTAATGTTGCTGCAGTATAACAAACGTTACAGTGCAATACATTCCAAATTTAAATATTAAATTTAATATGGAGTTTTGTTCCATTGTCCTCTTATTTGTTGAGAATACTTTGTACTGTTGTTTGAAAGACCTTGTGCTGATTTGTGTATACATTTTTTAAAAGAAAATCTTAATTTTCAGCTGAATTGAGGAAACAATTGCAGAAGGCTGTTGTGACATGTTTGTTTTGATACACTGCACTGTCAGCAGTCTGAGCAAATTTACCTCTGTGCACATCATTATATGCATTATAGTTGAGGCATATAGGAAAACTTGTATAGTGCTTTTCATGTAGTAAGTTGTCCCAAGGCAATTTAGAGGAGTGTTATCACACAAAACCTCGCACTGTGCCATGTGAAATATTAGGTAAGGTGATCAAACGCTTGCTCAACAAAGATGTTTTAAGCATTTCTTAAAGCAAGGAGAGATTTGGGGAGCAAATTGTAGAGTTTCTTAAGACTCCCATTCTAACAATACAGGGTAGCCCATTTAGGGCTGAGTTGAGAAATTTCTTCACCCACAGAGTGGTGATCTGTGGAATTGTCTGCCAGAAAACGCGGATGAGGCCAAAACATTGAAATATTTTCAAGAAGGACTTTGATCTCTTTAGCCCTAATATCTAAGGGAATGGCAGAAACCTGGATGAAATGGATGATCAGCCGTATTCCTTTTGAATGGTAGAACAGGCTTGAATAGCCTACTCCTGGTCTTGTTTTTTAATATCATACTCCTATTTTCTATATTTGTGTGTTTGTCTTTAGCAGCTGAAAGCAAGAAGGGATGTACGACACATTGCTGCAATTCAATTCTGGCCTCAAGTTAGACACCGGTTCCCTTTCCAGCCCTGCCGCCTCCCTTCCATTCTACCTTCTGACCCTCCCTTCTAGCCTCCAACCAGATTCATCCCTCCCACTGACTAACCAGATCGTACCACCTACTAGTATCCACCTATCACCACCATTTGCTACAACCCTATCTTTATCTGCAGCTCCCCTAGCCCCACCTCCAGTCCTGAAGAAGGGTAGTACCTGAAACGTTAATTTCTCCTTTCCTCCAGATGCTGCCTGGCTTGCTGTGTTATTCCAGCCTCCTGTTTGTCTCCCTTGGATTCCAGCATTTGCAGTTTTATTTTGTCTCTAACTATATTTAGTCATCAACCTGTTCAGTGATGTTATTATACATCTCTGGAGCTGGTGGTACTTGAACCCAGGCATTCTAGCATTAAGGCAGAGACTGTACCTCAGTGCCACAAGAACCCTCCAACTTAAACATTTGCACTGAGTGTGGGTAATTAACGTACAATTTAGGTATCAAAGATTAATGGTATAGTTTAGCTGTGTTGCTAACTGACAGCTTTGGTTGTGACTGTTAGCCAATGTTTATGATTGCCACTTTCTGTCCCATTCATCTGAATGTTTAACTTTACTTTGATCAAAGGCTCTTTAAATTTGCTTTCTATAATTGCCTCACTTCTCCCTCTTAGGTAATCTCCTTCATACTGATGATACCCTCGACTCTCCACTGCGCTGACTCCCTAATGACTGAGTTCTGAATCACAAGTTTCTGTGTTCAAGACCCATTCCAGGGCTTTCAAGTTATGCTGGTTGGTTCTAGACTCCTAGCCAGACAGAACATCTCAACTACATCTATTCTATATACCCCTTAAGTATTTTGTAGGTTCTAGTGGGTTCACTTCTCATTGTTCAAAATTTTTAGATATTATGTGCTAAGTTTTCCATATGGGCCAGGAGCAGGCAGGTGAGACTGGTTTAGTTTGGGATTATGTTCAGTGTGTGCTGGTTGGACCAAACAGTCTGTTTCTCTGCTGTATGACTCTATAACAGCCCACTATCCCATGAGCAAATCTACTACACCCTATATTGCACTCGCTCCAATAACTTTCCTGAGATTGACAGACCCAAAACTATGCACAATGCTCTTGGTGTAGTCCAACCCTAGTTCTTATATAATTGAAACAAGCCTTCACTACTCCTGTATGCTGATCGTATTGTAATTAAGGCTAACAGTCCATTAATCTTCCCAATAGCTTGCTGCACCCGCATTTTTAGGTATGTCTTTTTTTTCATCAGCTCTTTTAATACCTCCTTAGCTTTGCATCTTTTTGCTGCATTCTATATGTAAAACAACTTGGGGTGCTTCATTGTATTACTAGACTGTGTATAAAAAATATTTTGGGTTGACATGTAACATCAAAATATTCATAGTTAAATTTTATTGTAGTATTTTTCTTGCAAAAACACAGACATTTTAATATAGTATATTGGACATTATTATTTAAGGTGTTCGCATCTTCTGGAATATCTAGAGATGATGTGTGTAGGGAGAATGGTAGGGTCTTTCAAACTGGACCTGAAAATCAAGAACCCAAGAAAGCATAGGATATTTGACATGAGAACTAATGCTGGCAGAAATGTCCGCTTCTTGGAGTTCATGATTTTTTTAATATATAAAAGAACTGACAGGATCAGAGTTCCACACTGTGACCTCACTTGCTAAGTATTCAGTTAAAATGACGTAAATGTAACTATTTGCTTTCTCTTTTAACCGTGTAATCAATTGGGAGCAGTGATGTCGGTTAAGGGAAATTGAGATGCTGCATGGGGCCAAGGGTTTTAGTAAGCATCAAATTCATTGGCCTGAATTTTAAGGCCTACCCATGGATGGGAAAGCAGGTCGGTGAATCTGTGAATTAGGGCACCATGCCATTAGCAATGTACCCACTGTATGCCCCTGCTCAACTCTGATTTTACAAATGGTTGGGAGGTGTCTGGTGGATCACATGCTCTTGGCCCGTGTGAAGCCCTTAAGTGTGCAAGTAATGTTCAATTAAGATCCCACCATTGCTCATATTTAACAAGCAGTGGAAGAGGCCTGTGCTCAACATGAAGGCAAGCATGTTTAACCTTGTGGGCTGCTGGCCAATCAAATGAGTGCAGTGTGGGGAGGCATGCTTCATACCAAGCTCCTGGTACCAGTTGGAGAATCCTCCCTGTAATTTGGCCATGCCCCACCAAGTCTCAAAATTAGGATGATGCAGACTAGATCTCCCTACCCACGCGTTTGTTTGTGTGCAGGATGCCCTTCATTGCATAATCTAGCCTATGTAATATTTTAAGATTTGAATAATTGTAGCTTTAGATTATGAACTCTTATTTGGATCAGTTGTTTGAAAATGCCTGACAAGTTGTAACATGTCGAGTGTATGTGAAATATGAAACTATTTAAGGTGCAAATAGTTCAGCTGATAGAGCATCAAACTTTTTTAATCTGAGGACCCAGGTTCACGTCCCTGTAAGGGCGATGCTTTTGCAGGTTCTTGTGGTGCATGATAGTGTCCCTACCTCTGAGCCAGGAGACCTACTGCAAAAGTATGTGATGGCGTCTCTGAATGGGTTGATAAGAAAATATAAAAACAAACTTCTTTACATGACACTATCCTTTTATACCGAGTAGTATTTGAAGTTTTGACTTTAATAGCTTATAGACTTCAATTAGTTTTCAGCTATTATGTTGGAGAGTTTTTTACTTCCTGTTTTTGTAGAAGCTGTTTGTTTGCTGGCAATTTTCAGAGATTCAGAATACAAGATGTTTAATTTAGAGTTAGACCATTTCACTATAGAATCACACAATACAGAAGAGGCACTTCAACCCATTAAG